TGATACTGAAACTAAAAATAAAATCTTCGTCTATAATTCATATTCTACGTTTTATATAACTATGCATTATACATATTTAAGAGCTCTTCGTGTGTGAAAACAATTGACGTTGTAGAAAAGTCGAATAAAATAAGTTAATAAATAGAATCAAGTAAGATAACACAACAGCAATATAGATGTACATACTTTTTATAGAAACATCGCATTCGTAGCTATTCAAATAAAACGAATAAATCCAAAAATTACATATAGATATAGTAATCATCTGTAATATTTCAATCATTGTAATGAACATAGTAATTTTGGGAGAAATCCTTACATTTGCCATTTTTATGGCAAAATACGTATACATAAACATATGTACGATCGAATTTATGTAATAATATATTGATCCGAAATTACCTTTGATAGCTGCTCCGTACCATGTTACAATTAGAGTCATAGAATGATGATACAGATGTAAAAACATTACATTCTTTTTTCTCAGTACGATTAAAATCGTATCTCCTAATTCTAATATTTTGGATAAAAGAAATAACATTCCCCAAAATAATAAATGAGGCATTTTCTCCAAAAAAGTAAAATCACAAGAGACATAATAAAAAAGTGAATGTTTGAACAAAAAGTAAAATGTGGGAGTCGTTCTTACAACCACAATGATATTAAATAATGCCAATGATCCATTCCAGAAGATCGCGGTTCTTTTAAGATCGAAAGCGGGGCGTGATTTCATGTACATTCGAAGCAGGTAAATGACGAGCAGGTAAATAAAGGATACGTAGAAAGTATAATGCCAATAACTTTGGTAGAATGCCCAGTCCAGTATCATAAACGAATGTTCAAATTCATAACAGCTGGGATAAGGTTCGCTTATGTTTAATCTCATTTCTTTCTGAAATAATATAAAAAGTTATCAATAAATTTTAATAAAATAAATCTAATATAGCCTATTATAATTTCAACATCTAGTAAACAGAATAATAAACATTTATAAATATCTAATATTTTCTTTACAAACAAACTTCCATAATTTCTTGCCAAGCCAACAATGGATGGAAAGTAACTAAGCACTGAGAAATCGCTATAATTTTTATATTTTTAAGGGAAAAATGGCGAAAATTATTTGAAATATACGTTATTAAACGGAAACACGGATGCATACCTAAAAATTCAATATAGGCTCCCCATATTCCATTCTGTGGTCACAATCTTCGAGTGTCAGCTCCTGCACGGTAATGCGGTTTCCACTGGCAGTAATTCAATTCTTTATTTAACATCGTACACATCGTGTATCTCGACAATCCTATTTCGCAAACGGCTCTTTCACTCGCAGCCTGTTGATTTATGCAGGCTGCGAGTGAAAATTCCCGCACCAACGAAACGTTTTCCTCATATCATGATGTGGATGAATGTCTACTTCTGTGTGTCCGCAACCGAACCTGTGTTCATTAGATTCGAATGATAATTCTTGATTGTTTCACCGCACGCCATCATCTCTGTACAGCGATCACTGATTTCTATACCGCGTAGCGTGCAGTAATCTGCGCTCGCTCCTTAGCAGAAAGCGGTCGTCCATCTTTTTTACCACCGCGTATGTGGCCTCTCTCGGCCACTGGACACACCACCGAACCGATGCTGAAATTATAAAATTTCATTGAATGATGTACATGCACGCATAACATTTTAAAGATTGCATTATTATTACAAAAATTACAGCGGTTTCTCGATGCCTAGTTATTTTACGCCTACCCCATAGATAAGTTATAAATTATCTTTTTAGCAAGCTTTAACATTTTTTATTGTTTTTACAATTTCCCATTATATGTTAATAATATATAACTCGGATGATAAAAGTAAAGAATTCCTGACAGCGTGTCTTTCTTTTAATTTCGATCTTAGTTTCTGAGTGTTCCTAGATGGCACCGAACGAGTGAAAATTAAAAATAAAAAATTAAGTAGCTAAACCAACGAAATTCATAAAGATATTGTGTTACAAACTATTGTTTACCATTTATAATTACCTGTTAATAATTACTAACTTTTAGGGAACAAAGTGATTCACTGAGTGATTTAGGAATCTTATAGTAATTCGCTTAATTCTTTTTAATGCGTGAATCTATTTCTGGCTAATTGTATAATGCTAATGTATTAAAATGAAAGTTAAAGTTTTGGATTTTTACTATTACAAAATAAATAATTCATAGCTTTTTCTTACTTTTACAAGAAACTTACCTTTCGTTTGGTTAACGCCCTTTAATTCCGTACTCTATAGCAAATATTCTGTAGAAGAGCAGCTACAGATCGCAGATCGTGTGCTGGAAAGCTATGGAAATTAAGTCAAATAGGATGAAAATAAGAAAGCAATATGAAAAAAACTTACACGTGACATTAGCTAAATCATAGTTACGAGAGTTTAGATAAATAAAATATTCTTATAAAACGATTTTATTGGCCAGTTTGCCAACCACTCTAAAGGATCCAGGATCTGGACGAGCAACTACCCACGAATTTTTTCTCTTTTTCGTTTTAATGTTGGCTGGCTTATTCATCTCATTGCTTACCAGAGCTTCATCTACAGTAGGTGTTTCCATACTTTTAAAAAGACCTTCTCAAATAAATATTTATATAACTTATATCTTTACAGCAAAAATTATACACGAGATGTAGTCACGATATTATCTCATAAAAAAACTTTAAATTTGAAAATAATTTCTATTTCGATAATTATCAAATAGTTCAGATGAATTTATGATTAATATATAAATTTAAAGCTTAAAAAATTCAAGGAAAAATAATATTTATTGAAATAAATTTTAAATAAGATATATTTAAACCAGGAAATTATTTATTTAGATACGTAAGAACGTGTTTCATAAATTAACACAACTCAGTTTAATTTTACTTTATAAGATAGTTTGCAATCAACTGGATTATTTAGGGCCGGTATTTCTTTTTTTTTTCATTTATGCCTCTTTTCGCTCTGTTGGTAAAGAGGGCCTTTTAATTAATCATACTATTACTCATTTATATATTGTTTAAACATGGCGGTCAGTTCCGCCACACACGCTTTCGTGCTTCTCGATAAGTTCTTTTTTCATTTCAATTGTCCATACTACAATCTTTCTCTTAGACTTCGTTGTTGCTTCCATACACTTCCGAAACGCCATGGTTAATTGATTAATAAGTAATGGTCATATTGTGCTCAACAGAAAGGTTTTGCATATTATTAACAGCTGTCGTTACTTAACATAAACGTGTGATTAGGGATTCTCATTTCCCGGTCTTTTGCTTGTCCCGGGATTCCGGGATAAAAGTGAACTGTATATCATGAAATCAAATGATATAATTATTTTTCATTTTTTAAAATAATTTAATACGTTCTGCAACCTCCAAAATCATATTTAAGAGAAAACAGATGTTATATGTTTTTTCCACTTGTAGTCTGGAAGATTCGAGTTCGTTTTCGAGATTGTAGTACTGTGGGGGTACAAAATATCGTGTGAATGAATCAACACGATAAAATATAAGTGCTCAACCAGGGGATAAATTTATAACAAGCGTGCTTGGTGGAACAAACGCTTATAAAGGGGAATCCACTGGACTCAATAGGGACTAGACAAGGCAACCATTGAATTCTATAACAATATTTCTTTAATATACTTGGGAGGATACAGTACTCTCAAGATAAAGATGAGACACAAAAATACAGAGTCCGACAATCTAGTATATCGCGAATCGATAACAAAAATCTCCCGACAATAAATTGCTCAAGCTGACGTAACAAGAATACATGGAAACATACCGACATAAATGGGGCTTCGACAATCTTTTCTTCTCTTCCACTCCGGGTAGGAAAAAGTTCCAAAGTTCTAAAAATCTCTACGGACTTGCTTGCACAGGCTCTATATCTTCATTCCCGCACTTCACTCCCTGTCCTTACTCATCTGCCGTTTTTTCCACTCTCCACTTCCCTTCACCCCTCTCCCTGAGACACACCCCGTCCATAAAACACTCACCTCTCGGTCACACACCCCTGAATTAGATAACTCCTCTCCACCGAGTTAGACCCACCACGTGGCGAAGGGGGGCAAGAACAGACGTAAGGCACAGTACTATACTTCTTTTGCTCTCTAGTATTCTTGATTTGTCTACCTCGGCCGCTTTAATAGCGGCATCGAGCTTATAGCCCGATAATTCGGCAATTCGTTTGGCTTTAATAATCGGGTTTACGAAGAAAAACTTCATACTCGCAGACTTGGTACTCGTTTGTATCCTTGCCCAATTTGACCAATCTGGCGTTACGCAGTTATCGAAGCTACCGGGCACGGTTAAAAATTAAGACAGCGTAAGCGCAATTATTCCAGATATTACGGGTTCCGACAAGTAAAGAATTTTCAGTCCTGCCGCAAATAAGCTACGTACTGATTATTGACCATTTGTGACGTGCCATAACGAGGAAATATTAAAAAGAAGCTAATAAGTATGTTTAAAATTAATAAATACAAATGTATTCTGACAGTTTATGAGTTAATTATACTTTATATTTGCAAAATTTCTTCATATTTAACACAAAATAAGAAAAAAACTGAACTTTTAAGAAATTTGCGGGATTTCCCGGGTTAAAAAAAACAACCGGGATCCCGGAATCTCGTTTGAGAAACCCTACGTGTGATTTAATTATGACAGTCAATTATAAAGAACAATCTCAATTATTAGTAATGTGAGATTGTCCTCATATAAAAAGCATATCGGGCAAATGCTTTATGAGTTTCAGAAAGATATAACGCCGTACAAACAATAAAAACAATTACGAATTAATCAATGACCTCCCGTATAATGTCGCGCTTTTAGCACATTGTGAAAATAAATTTAATTTTTACGGTAATTTTTAATTCGCAAATAATAAAATTTTTCATTGCTCGAGTAATTATGAAGTAAGTGAATATTATGCAATTTTGTTTTAATCAAATTATGACGCTAGGTGACGCTGGATTCTGCAACATGTGGTATTAACACTTGAAGTTTGTATTTTGTATACGTACTGTACGTAAGTCGTTGAAAAAGTTAGTTTCTTCGTTGTGAATGTTGATTTTATGCAATAACATATTAACATTTTGCAGGTTTTTCCAATTTTAATAAAGTCATGCACTGTATTATCTGTACTACATTATTTATTTTTCAAAACTTAGCTGTCTAAAAGATAAGAAGATAAAGTGTTAGTGAATAAGTTCAATAATAAATTACAAAGATTGCTTAGTTTTTAAGAATAAATAATTAATCGGTAATCTAACTTGCCAAATTGCTTTCAGGTTACATTTTAATTTTATTAAATAGTATAATTTGCCTTAAAAGTATACAATTAAGACTCCGTCTTGAACCATAATTAATACATTCAATCCCTAGCTTACCGGAAACGTCGCCATCTTGGAACCTAAGGTAACATTAACCCAAATAAATAATAAATGTAATAGTGTAATGGGCATACATGTTCTACATAACAATAGCTGATAAGTTTATTCGTGTTTCACTTGGGCTTACGCCAATAGCACCCAAAACTAAAAATGAAACTAACTTTCCGAGAAGTTGATTGACCGGAATATTCATTTTAATTTTTTAATTTTATTATAAATATGTAGTGGATTGATAATAAATAAAAAAATTAACATAACAGAAATTCAATACAAAAAGTTATATACTTTTGTATGTGGTTGTCTGTGTTTCTGTGAATCTTTGTGTTAATGAAATACTATAATTAATTAATTAAAATATTAAGTGTTGATTTAAAGTGCAGTAGGGGAGGATGGGGTAACTTTGGCATATGGGGCAAGTTTGTCAATTAAATTTTCATTTAAACAAAATAAAGGAGATTCTCTTTAGAGGCTAGTCAGTTGAGTTTTAATGACAGCTTGTTGAGTGTGGTGTCTGTGTTGTTCTCTGGCAAATGTAGTTGAAATATCAAATAAGTTGTCTGTTTCATTCAATTTCTTATAACATTTTGCTTCCAATTATGTAGAGTTGGCATGTTTTGTTATAATTCCATAATAACGAAAGTTATTTTTCCCGTTAGAAGGATAAAACATTAATTTATTCACGTGGCCAGATCATGGCTTGGTACTCTATTTTCAGGGTTTCACTTAATGTTTCTAAATCATGACTATTGGGGCAACTTTGGCAGTGTTGCCAATCTTGTTCCTGATCGTGTTTTGCTATGGTTTGATTTGGTCGCAAACAACAATAAGTGGAAGAAATAACTGGATCCCCATACAAAGCCACATTAGAAACCAAGGCTAAAGTTAAAAAATCAGGAACTTGCAGAAGGGCAATGAATTTGGAGAAATTGGATTTGAAGTTCACTAAAGAAAAGGGGCAGCAAAGTCCTGAAGAACTGGAAAATAATGATGAAAATACTTATTGCATATATTGCAATAAACAATATGAAACTACTCAGGAAAAGTGGATTATGGGCTGCAAGTGTGAACTGTGGGCTCATGTGGCTCTACATATGTGGAAAATGAATTAGTTCAATTTATTTGTGATATGTGTAGGGCATAAACAATTTGCTGTTAAGCATATTTCATTTCTACTGAGTTTGTTTGAGTTCACTAATTCATTTATATTGCTTTTAACTTGCATTAGGATGTTTTCTTTTATTATCTGTTTGATTTTTTTTAGTAATTAATTTTTGTTTACATTTTATTTACTTAAATATGCCTTTGAACTTGTATATTAAATAGGTTTTTGGACTTGTATTTCTTTGTTTTAATAGTGAATTCCAACTTATATATTGTTAACACAAATTTATTGATATGTACCTGCCTGTCTTACCCGATTACTGTTGCCGAAGTTGCCCTCATACAGGGGCAACCTTGGCAACAGCTTTGCTATCATTGCTATCTTTTCATAAAGTTATTATTTTTATGATTATTTTTATTTCCAAACTGATTTTAACCAGTTCTATGGTAAGTTTACATTCTGGTAGACAATAAACAATGCTTTTCTTTCAGTTTATAGTGGTATTTGTTACAAAAAATTTAACTTATTCTTATCATGCTGAAGTTGCCCCGTTCTCCCCTACATCTAAACAGTTTTATCATATTGTATTGTGGTACTGTACATATGAGCAATAATTTGTTACAATATACGTATATGATATTAAATAGTCTTATGTGCAAACTTGGGAATAGTATCCCATTAACTTCATTATTTATGTTTGTTTTATGACAAGAGTCTCTGAGAAAAAAACATTTAAGTTGGGAACTATTGAAATTAGAATTAATTTTAAATTTAAAAATTTTTGTTCAAAAGTAATCCATCAGTTTAGATTTCTGAATGACTGAAAAGATTGACATGAATTTTCTCAATAACTTGATACTTCAATAAGTTAAATATATTTTTGAGTAAATGAATTCATTTTGAAATCTTCATCTTAATTACCATATTGATTTTTAATAGTTATATCATTTTGTTTCAGATAATTTACTCTTAATTACATTTTATTAAATAGTAGTAATAATAGACGCATATAATTACTATTAAAAGCATTTTTAGTTAAACCTAATGTAATTTAATGTCAACTATTTTTAACATTATCATTATAGATCTGTTTATAATTTTATTTATTGATTGTCTATAATATTACATTGTTTTTTATTTATTTATTTTACAGTACAAGTATGCAAATATATGATACCAATGGATATTAAATTAGAAAATCTTGAACTTGTTCACTTAGGAAGAGAGTCAAAATTTGATTTAATTCCTGAAGATGACAGTTATATTAATAAATCTACAGTAAGTTGTTTTTATAAATTTTACTTTTCTTGCTATTACGGTTACATAACAAGAGAAAATATTGGAATTGTATCAAATTTGCCTATTTCATTTAATATCTCAGGATGGAGTAAAGATTAAGAAATGAAAAGTGGAACATTAGCTTGTGTTTAAGGGGCATTAATGCTAACAAATTTTGGTGGTTAAAGGTTGAGGGGATGGGGAGACAATGAATAGTCACATGTCATATCTGAAGAGAGGTCGGACTTAATGAAGATTTTACTTGTTATTTATAAACCTCATCTATATCCTCAAAATTCAGCTTTTTGCCATCTTATAGTAGTAAAAAATATATAGTTTTTTTTATAACAACAAAATCTCATAACAGATGGTGTCAAGCACAATTATATTTATTATGCTTAATAATATAAAATTTTTTAATAAAATCTCATAACAACCAGGAATGTTATGCAACTTGTTGCTAGATTTTTGAATATTTGATTTCAAAAATGTAACTAGAGAGTAATCATTTTAAAGGTAAATAGGCCTAAGCTCCCTGGTCTCTCTTACATTTGTAATTAAATAAACAAAGAAAAAAGTTCAGGAAATGATTTGAATGTAACAAACCCCACTTATACACATGATGAGTAAACCCTTAGATATTGTATTCATCTGCAGCACTAGTGGTATAAGGGTTAATATAGGTTTACACATTTTAATTTGGGTCTCCCTAATATTAGTTCTAGTTATGATACTGTTTAAACCCTTTAACTTATAAACAAAACTATACTACTTAAATTCACCACATACAAAAAACCTTTGTAACTCCAGTGATACGTGTTTACACACCAGCGAACATTTTTGACCCCATTCGGGTCTTCATCAGGCTACATTTATGAGGAATTCGAATGCGTGTGGAATGGAACATTAAAACAAACTGAATGCGATTCAAAATTTAGAAAAACAAATTTAAGAATAAAAATGGAACATTATGCACATGCTGAAACGACAGTTAAGCACACGTAACATCACGTTTGCAAAACAGCAAAAGCAGACAAAATATACGCAATTCAAAATCAGTTACGGGAGTGGGGTTTCCTCATAACAAAACTTCCACGTGCTAGATATCCTGACTGCATCCATGGAGTTGATGCACGTACTACATAATCCTGCTTTATATATTTCAAGAGTCTCCATGGCTCTCAGTTGATCAGTACGATGTGAGAGCCTGATCAGACGGGCATTTTATATGTCAGCCGTGATTCCCGGTTCCGTGGCAACCGTTGATAGGGCGGTGGTGTGTTTTTTATTGTCAATGTCATATTTATGCTCCTGAAGCTGTTTATGAAGGGAACGTTTGGTTGAGCCTACATAAACCAAACGGCTGTTAAATCTGTCATCCCGAAGTGGGACAGCATATACCCCTGGTGCGTGTTTCAAGTCAATTGTGTCTTTTCCGTTGCAAAGTAAGTTGTAAACAGATCTTGGCCTACTGTAAGCTATCTTAGTTTTAGTGATGAATGAAATTTCCCTGTATATTTTATCAAGATGGTGGTTGTATCCTACGATTTTTCTTGCACATTTATTATCCAAAGACTCCCCAAGGGCATTGGTAGTGTGATGTGCGTTTGCCTGTGTGTAAGCGTGATCAATATTATATATTAAGTTCTTATTATACCCGTGCTGTGTGGCCATTTCCTGAATGTGTCTTAGCTCAGCTGTGGTGTCTTCGTAATTAGAGTGGTGCGTGAACACCCTCTTAGTTAAGGCCCGAAAAGCTGCGATCTTGTAGGCGTACGGATCCTCTGAGTTAGCCGGGATGAAGAGTGGTACATAGGACTTTTTGTAATAGACTTTGGATGTGATCACACTATCCTTAATTTGAAGGTCCAAGTCAGAAAATGCATGACAGTATTGCTTTTTTGGTCCAATTTGATGTTCAGGCCATAAGGGTTGTCGTTCATTAAGTTAATGAACTGGTTGATGTTGGGTTCTGTTTTCCAAATGATAATAATATCATCAACATACCTCCTGTACAGGAGGATGTTGGAAACATACACGGGGATGATTTGATGTTCCAGCTTCCTGATTACCAGCTCATGTAAATCACCCGAGAGAGGGCTCCCCATGGGAACACCCCGCTTTTGAAGGTAAGTTTTGTTATTAAAACAGAAGAAGGACAAGTAACACAATATGTGCGTTAACTCTCTTCTAGTGTGTGGAAGTTTTGTTATGAGGAAACCCCACCCCCGTAACTGATTTTGAATTGTGTATATTTTGTCTGCTTTCGCCGTTTCACAAACATGATGTTGCGCATGCTTAACTGTCGTTTCAGCACGTGCATAATGTTCCATTTTTATTCTTAAATTTGTTTTTCTAAATTTTGAATCACATTCGGTTCATTTTAATGTTCCATTCCACATGCATTTGAATTCCTCATAAACGTAGCCTGATGAAGACCCGGATGGGGTCGAAAACATTTGCTGGTGTGTAAACATGTATCACTGGAGTTACAAAGGTTTTTTTGTATGTGGTGAATTGTATTTTCTCTGGTGTTTGCGAAGAGGTTCATTTCTTATATACTACTAAAAATTATAAGAGAATCAATAAACTATAAAATGAGAAATATTTCAATTTTTTCTTGAATCAATTTATAAATGATATTTGGAATAGGATACAAAAATACAAAAAGGATTTTTTGTAAATACACATTTTGTATATACAAATTGAATAATTATATGCAGAAAACCCTGAATTATACTAATAAATGGGAGATCAGATTAACTATCAGGCTAGAAGTTGGCGATTTAATAATATAAATATTCATCCCAAGTTGTCATAGTGTGTAAACCTGTTATCTTGTAAATTAATTGATCTGGAAGTGCAGATCTAATTGAGTTCTGGGTAAAAAAATTGTCATCACAACTTCATTATAAGCAAAAGTTATGGGTTTAAATCTTTCCCGGGATCAATTTTTTTTTAGAATAATCTGAATTAATTTATTTCTAATTATTAAATTTCATATAAGATGATGGCAAAACTGCCTACCTTTAGTTCAAATTACATAATATCTGTATACTTAAATAGTCAAGTTCTAGCCAGATAGTTAATTTAAGTTAACCCAGATAGTTAATTTAAGTTAACCTTTCAACAGTTGGATAGTAAGGTATGGTGCTATCCCTAAGTAGTGGAGAATAAACGTGGGAAATTTTAGAAGTATTTTTCCATGCATTGTTTCTCATTACCATTTCAGAAAAAGATTTTGTAAACAGTTATATCTAGTAAAGAAAAGTCTTTTTTTTTTATTGTTACATAATTCATTTTTATGTGAATTTTTTTCGCGGTTTTTGGTGATACCCCAAAAGAATTTAACGGATATATTCATCCCTCACCACTGCCACACGACCGCCCTGGACAGATATATCCGTCCCTCACGGTCGAGTGGTTAATTCAGCTCTATCATATGGTAATTATAAGTAATAGATTTGTAACAATCAATAATTGTTTAATTAAATAATTATAATGATTATTTATTAGTTAGAAATTCTTATAATCTGAAAAATATTCTAAATTGATTGTATAACATGATATTCCCTCTTTCTAGTTTATGAATTGTCCAGTTTATGAGAATTCATAATTCCCATAAACTGGACAATTAAATTACAAGTTATATGTTTGATTCTAACTTCAAGATATTCTTTTTCTAGATGTTTACAAATTTAATTAATTATTCTAAATTCATTGTTGATACTACTTTTAGTATTATGTTTTTAATATATGAGTAACTCAAGCATTAAAGTGTTCATTTACTAATACTAAACTATTCATTTGCTTTATTAATGCTATTGAGTTTGCAGTGTCAAAATTGTACAAAAGTAAATTGAAATGAAAACTGCAATAATTGATTTACAAATGTAGTCAATATTCTCAATTAATGAACTAAAACATTCATAAACTGGGAATATTGGGTATATATGCATTAATATGCTAACATAATATGTTAACTGTTAACTTTATCATCAGAAATTTTTTGTTCAGTATCAAATTTTTACACTTTCTTTTACTATATCATTTTCTTTGACATCAGATTTTCATTTTCAGATTTAATCATTCATTATCTGACTCAAGTAACATCTGCTGCAATTCTTTCTCGTTAAAAAGATACATTGAAGGAACATAAATTGTCTTCTTAAAACCATCTTTCACATTCACCCTTGACAAAAACAATTTTTTTAGCCTCAAGTGAAAGGTTGTCTATATAATTGAAAAATTTTTTGTTCTTGGTAAATGTTAAAGACTGTTTTAAGAAGACAATTTGTGTTCCTTCAATGTATATTTTTAATATGTAAACTATGTCAACCAGTTCTAATCAATCAATCTTTATTGTCAATTTGATCTTCAATAATCTCCATTTTCAAACAGAAAACAAAAGAACATCTAAAACACTAACAAAATACTTTATTAGAATGTAGTGTATCTCAGGCACAATTTAAGGTATTGTTGAGAAAAACAAAGTTTTTCCTAGCAAAAAAGAACTGACAAAGCAATTCTAGATAATTAATGTTGCCAGTCTCTTCAAGGAAGTTACTCAAAGTTGCAGGTTCTATACCATTTCAAAACAAATATTTAAAAATTTATTCTGAATGTATTTGTGAGATTAGCTGTGACCTCCAAAGAGTTAAAATTTAAAGTTATATCAATCTTTATTATTATTACAGTTTTAAAATTAATAATAATAAAAATGCCACTAACCCCAAAACAGTCTCTAGCAATTTATTACTCCTTAGATAAACTGAGTAACTCTTTAGAAGGTTGCTTGTGACTAGGTTAGGATCCACCACTTTAGAGTGTAATGATGATATACAATAAAGCACGACACTAAAAAGTACTCTTATGAATTTTTAAAAATTATTTCATCATTATTAATGCAAATTAATTTTAAACATGGATTAGCATCTTATATGAAAAGTTTTAGTTGGAAAAAATTCTTTAAAAAAATCATAATCATCATTAAAAGATGAAAATAACAGAAAATTGCAAATTTTTTTGCTCAAACTATTGATACAATAAAAGTTACATTATTCATATGCATAATAGAGTTAATTGTTTTTGTTTCTGAGAGAAAGAGGAAAGCAGTTAATTACTACAATTTATAAGTTTCAAACCATTTTTAAAATATTTGAAAAACTACAATATTTTAACTTATTCTTTTAGTTGGTTTTTGATCTTCCCCCTGTAATACCTGATTTATCTGAACAATTAGAAGAAATTTTAGATCATCCAGAAAAGCTTTCTATTTATGATTTAGATAATGTTCAGAGGTAAGAGAATTAATCTTTGAATTAATTAAAATTGCTATTTTTAAAATATCAATTATGTTTCAATTAATTTAATATTATTTGTTTTATTATCCATTACCCATACTATCCATGTATGAAAATTAATAATTTTTTTATTTAAGACATATACCTCGAAAACCAAATATATCTTCATTATTTACAACGGAGTTATGTCCTTTACAAACAACTTTAAAAGCTGAGAGGAACATGACCACTGGTGAAGTAATAAAGTTTAACGAAGTAAATAAATTGCTTATATAATTATGTTTTTTAATGAAAAAATTATTACTTAGTATTTAATATCAATTATAATATATAAGAATATATTAATAACATAATAATTGTTATAATCATACTAAAATTGCTTTTCCTATATATATTTTAATAATGTTGGATAAAATTTGATAAATGTAAATATACTAAAATGTTTATTTTGAATAATAATGTTAAATAATACACCCAAATTCTAGCAGTAAACTGTAATTTTGGAGACAGACATCCACACACATCTGGACCAGGCAAAACTTAAACACAATTTAATTAACAAAGCATACATATGGCACTTGAAAATAATTGAAATTTACAAGGCAACAAGGGAAGAATCTGCCTTCAGCTATAAAAGCAGCAATTCTCTGGCCTAGGTGTGGATATTCAAAAAATTACATCTTAAGATCAGACATATTACTAGCACAAACTGATCAACTGGAACTTATAAGTGCTGAATTATAAATATTCCCACACATGTGGAATTCTATTTTTACAAATTAAAACATTTTTTACTAGCATTGTTCTATGTTCAAAAGACTTCAGAACCTGAAGATGCAGGCTTAAGACCACTGAAAACATTTTTTCTACATTGTAAATATTTGACTTTACTGCTGGAGTTTGGATGTATTATGTAAGTTTAGTATTTCTCCAGTTACAATAGTAGTATTTAAATTATTATTAAAATATATTTTTATAACATATATTTTGTCTTATGAAAGTGTAATAAAAACATAAATTTTTATAACTTCTATGATATTTAACATAATATTATTTAAAACAAGAATTCTTAACCATGTTCCTGTCATGGACATCTTAGAAGTCTGTTGAAGCCTATGGATTTTTTCTCAGAATAATGCTTCTAAATGCATAAAATAGAATGTATAGAATTACAAAGATAACTAATCATATTGAAATACAGTTATCAAAATACTAAAAACACAAATTTGTGAAATATTAATATACTAGTTGTACCCATTAAAATATTGTTACAATTGTAAACAATTTTTAAATTACAGATAAAGAGGAAAAATAAAGAAGGAAATAAATTTATTAATATAAGACTTGTAAAGTATCTCAGTATACAACATTTTTTGTGTAAATATCTTCATTGTTAGATAATCTATTCATTTCTGAATGAAAATTTAAGTTGTCAACATTTAATCAAATGTGGTTTTTCATTTCCTTCTTGCCTATCTGTAAGTTTTCCTTTGCTTAGATGTCATTTTATTTGAAAGAAATGACATCAGTCCTCCTGACTAGACTTTAATTTATGAGCAGTTAAGGTATGAAACTACTATCCTGGGATCTGGGAACAAATTCAGATGGGTCAATAAATCCCAGATATGTTTTTGCAGTGATATGTCTTGGATATGTTAGTTAGGTCTTACCCATTACCACTCAGTTGCCTCATTGTGAAAATACTTTCATATCATTCATAAATATCACAGACTAATCAAATAAACAAATACTAATGTTTCTTAGGCTAATTTTTCTGCTTAACTTAATATTACTTAGTATTTAATATCAATTATAATATATAAGAATATATTAATAACATAATAATTGTTATAATCATACTAAAATTGCTTTTCTTATATATATTTTAATAATGTTGGATAAAATTTGATAAATGTAAATATACTAAAATGTTTATTTTGAATAATAATGTTAAATAATACACCCAAATTCTAGCAGTAAACTGTAATTTTGGAGACAGACATCCACACACATCTGGACCAGGCAAAACTTAAACACAATTTAATTAACAAAGCATACATATGGCACTTGAAAATAATTGAAATTTACAAGGCAACAAGGAAAGAATCTGCCTTCAGCTATAAAGACAGCAACTCTCTGGCCTAGGTGTGGAGATTCAAAAAATTACATCATAAGATCAGACATGTTACTAGCACAAACTGATCAACTGGAACTTATAAGTGCTGAATTTTAAATATTCCCACACATGTGGAATTCTATTTTTACAAATTAAAACATTTTTTACTAGCATTGTTCTATGTTCAAAAGACTTCAGAACCTGAAGATGCAGGCTTAAGACCACTGAAAACATTTTTTCTACATTGTAAATATTTGACTTTACTGCTGGAGTTTGGATGTATTATGTAAGTTTAGTATTTCTCCAGTTACAATAGTAGTATTTAAATTATTATTAAAATATATTTTTATAACATATATTTTGTCTTATGAAAGTGTAATAAAAACATAAATTTTTATAACTTCTATGATATTTAACATAATATTATTTAAAACAAGAATTCTTAACCATGTTCCTGTCATGGACATCTTAGAAGTCTGTTGAAGCCTATGGATTTTTTCTCAGAATAATGCTTCTAAATGCATAAAATAGAATGTATAGAATTACAAAGATAACTAATCATATTGAAATACAGTTATCAAAATACTAAAAACACAAATTTGTGAAATAATAATATACTAGTTGTACCCATTAAAATATTGTTACAATTGTAAACAATTTTTAAATTACAGATAAAGAGGAAAAATAAAGAAGGAAATAAATTTATTAATATAAGACTTGTAAAGTATCTTAGTATACAACATTTTTTGTGTAAATATCTTCATTGTTAGATAATCTATTCATTTCTGAATGAAAATTTAAGTTGTCAACATTTAATCAAATGTGGTTTTTCATTTCCTTCTTGCCTATCTGTAAGTTTTCCTTTGCTTAGATGTCATTTTATTTGAAAGAAATGACATCAGTCCTCCTGACTAGACTTTAATTTATGAGCAGTTAAGGTATGAAACTACTATCCTGGGATCTGGGAACAAATTCAGATGGGTCAATAAATCCCAGATATGTTTTTGCAGTGATATGTCTTGGATATGTTAGTTAGGTCTTACCCATTACCACTCAGTTGCCTCATTGTGAAAATACTTTCATATCATTCATAAATATCACAGACTAATCAAATAAACAAATACTAATGTTTCTTAGGCTAATTTTTCTGCTTAACTTAAAATAATTTTTTTTGATTCTGATGAAACCGTGTTGTTGATTAAAATAATTTAATTAAACAATTTGGTAATTTTATTTGTTATCAAATTAAATTCTAAGATTGTGATGAAAGTTTTAACAGTTTAACTTACATTTAGAGAATTGCAATTGATGTCAAATTTTTCTGAGTATTTTCATAACGAGTCCTAACTTTTAAGAAGAAATTTATATTTGTTAAATTAGATAATTTAAATTTGCATAAAACAAAATATAATTGATTAATTTGGAAATCAAAGTTAATTATGCAAATTAATTAGTGTAGTTTATTCTGAAGTTCTAGAAATTACACATATTAAAACTTGCTAAAAAATTTAATTCTTTAATTTAATAAATATTTGAGAATAGCACTCAATTTATTTCCATTTTTCAATACAGCAGAGTCTCGAAAACTCGGCACTCGATAACCCGGCAGTCCAGATAACTCGGCCACACCCTGGCAGGGCAAAAAAATCCTTAGTTAATTAATTTTCATTATAGACAGCCTTATGCCTCATAAAGTATTTTTCTGAGGTCTGTCTTATCAGGTAAATTACTGTACACAGTGTATTCATTAATTTTCATTTTCATGTAGTAAAGGCTCTATGCCTTCATAAAGGACATACTTTTCCTTTGTTTAAGGGTATTTGGGCATTTTATTCTCTGTTGTATTCTCAAGTAAACAATACATACAAGTACAGTACAGTATTTTCTGAGGAAACACTCGTACTTATTTTTTTTTAACCCCATTCCTGATAACCCGGCATTTTCACAAACTCAGCCACCCTTCGGTCCATTAGGCCGAGTTTTTGGGACTCTACTGTATCATTTTTCTATATTAGATTAGCTTTTATAAATTATCTTATAAAAATTATTTTCATTCACACATAATGCTAATTTATTAGGTTATTATTGAAGATAATGCATCAAATTCAAAAAATTCAATGTCATTTAAACGAGCTCCAGATGTGACCACAGATGTGAAAGGAAATCCCAATAATCTTCCATTTTGGCCAGGTGGTTTTGATGATTATTCTTTTGAAAAATTGAAGGATAACATTAAGAATCAAGATATTGACTTTGTCAATGGTCAGTAAAATATATATTTTGATAAAATATATAAAGATCCAATTAGAAAATTGTTAATTGATGTTGATTTATTTAAATATATATTATATAACATTTTATTTAAATAAGTATTTAATCTTTTGAATATTTAAAATAAATATCGCAAATTTATTAAAAATTTATGTCAGTTCTTTTGAATGAAAATTGATATTCATAAAATAAAATTATAGTTATAGTTTTATGTTTTTACTTAAATCTTTATATGTTTCCTAACAAAAGCTTGATAAAACATTTTATATGAAATAAAACTACTTGATAAATATATTTAGATAAAAAATTTTATATCTCCTTAACACATTGACTGTCAACTACAAATCATCACATGGTTTTCAATCGAATGAAAGGTAACTTCATTCATTGGAGATAACTCATTTAAGGTTTATTTGTAATCTTACTTTATAAGGTTTAAATACTTAAATCTTATAAAACTTAAGTGTATTCTTTCTAAAAACATTAATTTTTCATCAAATTAATATATGTGTGTTTATATTTCATAGAAACAGCAATATTAATAATACAGTAGAGCGTCGATTTT